ACGGGCCACCTCCTCTTCAGCTGGGGCTCTCAAAGTTCACATCTGATTCAGCAGTGCATGCATGAGTGCACTTTGCTTCTTCCAAGCTTTGGACACATGCACAATGTTCATTTCCATTTTTGTACAAATGCAAAATAGCTCATTTTTAGGATTTGGAGAAGAACTCGTTATTCCACACACTTATAGACAAGTTGGTGGTGGGTGATGATAGTGGGAAGCTGGTGAAAAGAGAGCATGTTGGAATATGGAACAACCTTCACACTGTCCCCAGGGGCCTGCTTGCTGCTGTTAGAAACGAGGGGTGCTAAAGCCAGGAAGTTGAGTGAGGAAAGGGGCCTAAAAACAGCTTAACTAAAATAAGAGGGCAGAGTATGGAGTCGGTTCTGAAGCAGGAACCAGAAGATAGTGTGGCACAGGAGTTCTGCTACAAAGAAGATGGTTCATAGAATCATAGAATTGGAAGGTCCCTTGAAGATAATCTAATGCACAGCTACTCCTACAGCATCTCTGATAAGTGACAATTCAGCTGACAAATGAGAGTCCACCTTAAAGAAGATTGGTTCCCAAATATTTTATGGAACCTGTGTGCAAGTCCTATTCAAGATTGCTACTTTTCTTCCTTTTATGGACATTGCAGTGATGCTGAAAACTGCTTTGTTGAGTCCCCACCTGTCGCACAGCTTTTTAATGCACAAAACCTCTGTCAGGAAAACTACTCTGGGTGCTTTCAGTTAGAGATGAATGATGATCTTGATTTTATCTCCCCCTAACATTTCACCATGGCAAGATCCACCAGCATCAAATCAAGGGTGAAAGTTCGTGGCAACAAAGATGTTCCGAGCCCTGTGAGAAACACTGTTCACCTCATCTCAACCTTTCTGCCTTGGATTTTGCTTTGAGCAGTATTCAGCAGCGTCTCTTCGTGCCATACTTCAGAAAGTCTTGGCTTCTCCATAAAATCTCATTTTTTTAAAAAAAATTGATGTTAAAATGGAAGGAAAGACTGTTGTCTTGTGTGCAAAGTATCCAGCAGCTGGTGTGCCTACTAAATGACAGTGTCTCCATGTTAAACTGAAAAGAACGGAAGATCTTATTCCTCCTCCTCCTCCTCTTCCTCCTTCTTCATTAGCCACCCTGTTGTTCTGGTGGCAGGTAGAGCCCACAAGGAGACTGCTAAAGAGTCTCCTTGGTCCAGTAGGATCTATAACCTGCAGGGCTCCTCCATATGCTGCTGTTTGCTACTATGTTATTGTCTCCAGACCTATTTATCTCTGTTAGGTCTGTTGCCATAAATAGTATGATAAAAAAGAGCCATTCCAGCAAGTCAATGAGATAAAGGCTCCAGTCAAGAGCTCACTTTAGAGCAATCTTGCCGATTCACTTAAAACACAATAATTCTTTTCTTTGTCAGCATTCATATTTTGGTCCATTATATTCAAGTAAAGGAGAAGGGTGCAGGGAGAAAATAGCGGTATCAATTGCCAGGTATCACTGTGGCTGTTTGCAAAGGGGAAATGGTTAGTACTCCCCCACCCCACTGCAGCGGGGAGGGCTATTGAGAAGTAAATGGTTTTTCAGTGAAGATTCCTGGTTTTGTGAGCTGTTCTTGTCACCTCATCTGGAGGAAGTTTGTCACAGAAAGCTTAAGACTCTTTGTTAAGCAGTCAGCATGTCTGCTTATGTAGACATTTTACGCTAGCTTGAATCCAGCCATCACAAAAGGAAAACATTGAAACTGGTTCTTTTGCAATGTGCGTTGAAACTGGTTTTTTTGCTATGTGCTTGCTTTTCATTACATCTGGTCTCAATAGAAAGAGAAAAACTAAATCCTCTTGCTCTGCTTACGACGATAGCCAACATGGAGGCCTCCAGGGGTTGGACTACAACTTCCATCATCCCCAGCCAGCATGACCAATAGTTATGAATGATGTGAGCGTAAGTTCAGTAACATATGGAGGGCACCACATTGGCTACTCCTGGGTTACAGTAGCAAAATGCTTCTAACAGAAGTTTGAAGGAGTCTATAGAAGGGCATAAAGTTCTGGTGTGGAGTTCCAGAGTCTTTCAGCATTTATTCATAATTATGCCATATGTCCAGAGTGGCTAATGTGGTGCTTTCCAGATGTTTGGGACTACAGTTGCCATTGGTCACATCTGGATGGCACTATACTGGCTACCCCTGCCATACTGATTTTATACTAAAACATTGTACCTGGTGAAATTCATATGTAGTACTAGTTCCCATGTGTTTGTCTAACACACAATGCAAAATATTTAATCAAAATGGCTAGAAGACAGACGCACATCTACCTTCTTAAAGAACTGTTGTATGAAAACTGTCTCCCTAGCAGAAGGGGCAAACTGGCAACTCTCAGGCAGAATGTGTGTGTATGTGTGTGTTTAAAAAAATAAAAATCATATTGTTTCAAGGGGTGTGTGTCTGAAGATCATCTTGTTCGTCTTCCTTGAAAACTAGTAGCAGAGCAGTCTGTAGCTCTGAAAATGTAGAAGTGTCTTGCAACAGCTGAGAACAGGCACCATCAAGGTTCACTGTGCCACATTCACCTGTGGGGATTGAAACGTACCAGATAATTCAAATAAGCCAAGCAAAAGAAAAGAAAAGTGCATGGTTACCTTAAACCCCAATTTCCTAGAAAAAAATCTTTTTTCTTCCTCTATTCCTTCAAAAGAATCTGGGCAATGAGCATGAAAACAGACCCCATTCCCCTCCAGATAAATTTGTTTTACTTTCCTCTTCCAGACAAGGCCATGAACTATGAATGCCACCTTTTGTTCTGGGCCTCCTGCCCCATCCTCATCATGTGCCTTGTTATTTACCCTAAATAGCACTGCAGGCAGAACTACAGCATCCGTGGTGCTTCTTTAGCAGCACTCCTTCTTCTCACTTTCTCAAAGCTGTTCCTTAGTGTGCTCAATGACCTCTTAGCCTCTCGTGATGAAGAAAATGGAAAGATGGAGGGACGATTAGCCTTTTCTCTCCATTTTTCTTCATTTTGATACGAGCTCAAGAGTTTCAGCCCGCTCTGGGGGCCTTCTCAGATGAAATGGCTTTGGTGATGAGCCAGGTGTCCAACACATGCCAGCTGCAGTGCTCATAACTCAGCTTGTGACACGTAATGGCTTCTGTTCAAAGAGGAGCGTTGGGGGGAGGAGAGAGCCTGGGAGACTCAGGCATGATAACAGGCCTTAACTCTAGTGTCTCCAGTGTGAGGGAGAGGAATTCAAGCTTCAAGCCCCTTCACCTCTCTGGGAAGGAGATTAATTAGCCACAGGTTTTGTTTTTAACTAAAGCATAGGTGTCACGCTGCTCTTGCCTTCCTCTGGCATTCGGTTCTTTAAGTCTGAGTGGCTGCATTTTCTAATGTTTAGAAAAAAAGAGAAAAGGGCCACAAGCAGACACAGAGTGTTGGCTATTCACTCTCCATAACTGAGGCTCCGTTTCCAACTGCTTAGCATACAAAATCCATGTCTCCTTCAGTTTTAGACTTTAACCAAGAGAATCTTTTTGTTTGATTGGTTCTTGTTTTGTTTAAAGATTGTATCCTCAGAGGTTTCCATTGCTGGCATCTGTCTGTCTCAGGAGACAGAGGAGGAGTTTGCCTTTGGGGGTGAGGTCAAGCTGTTGGACAGTTGCAGCTCTTGGTGTGGCTGTAGAAATTGATGAAGGAGAGACATGTTTTGTTGCAGCTGAGGCAGATGAAGGTGTTCAGTTGTGCTGCTGCAGATGCAACATGGTGTTTCTTCTCTCTGTGCTCCTCCCTGCGGTTATTTATTTACTGCTATGGAAACATGACTGGACTATCATCTGTTAACTGACTTTCTGAAGAATTTTAAAATGGGAACTTTATCTAAAAAATAATAATATCTGCTTTCAGCTGAAGCTGCTAAGGCCTATCTGGTGCTGATGGGAGTTGTAGTTCAAAGGCATCTGGAGGGCACAGTGTTGGCTAGTACTGCCCTTTGCTCACCATCACCTGAGCCTCTTTCAGACATTTATCATGACATTGATATTCATGGGCAAGATAGTGTTTTTTAATTGTGTATGAAAAATTAGGAAAAAATAGCAAGTGTTCTTTAGCCCACTCTCAGCCCCAGGCAACAAAGCCCAAATAAATTAGAATATGGGCTTTTGCTAAAACAGGGCTGGGCATTTTCTATATTCAGGTGGCTCTTTTTTCCATAGACTGGTCCAGCGACACACACAGGCCAGTCTACTAATGATCAGACTCTATAGTAAAATCACCACCCTGTAGCAGTAAAAGCTTCATGATTATGAAGCACAAGCATTCAGGCATGCCTAGGACATTATATATAAAAGGCAAATGCAGCTATAACACGAACTGTTGCATATCTCTTATCTCTCATTTTGAAAACAATTTTGGTTATAAGCACAAGCTTGATTAAAATCTGTTAGGGTCAATGGGAGCCAAATAAAATTGCTTTATTGACCAGATAGCCCACAAGCCCCTTTACTGGCCAACCCTGCTCTTTGTTCAACAGATTATTCTGGTTTCAGCTGATTTTCACTCCCTGATATTCCAGACTTGGATTCCCCATAGCTGAGGCATCTGTGCTTTGACTGATAATGCCTTTTCTAGCTATTGGAAAGACGGACGCAGGATGCGACCGATGGGTTTAAATCGTGAGTGAATTGGAGAAAGTGAACGTTACGTGGGCTTTCAGAACCAGTGATGAAGTCCGTTAATTAATACGGAGGTGGTGCATTAAACTAAAAAACAAAAAACTATTTTCCTCCCACAGTAGAAAGGCATTTCACTAGGACTAGGCCTCCTACACACAGACATTCAAATTATGTAAATTTCTATCAGAAATGTAGGTGTATGGCCAGTGTATGCAAAACGTTTTTCAATATCTTATTGCTGTGTGGATGGGAATGGCTGGAACTGGCCAAATACAAGGCTATATGGCCAAATTTTGAGAGTCTTGCTTATCTGCTTCCCCTGTACTTTTCATATCAGGTGTTCCCGGAGGGACAAGTGTGAGAGGGCAGATGAACCATATCGATTTGCAGCCAGCATCAAGCAATGCATGAGCATCATTGTGCAACCTAGCAGCATCCCGGTTTCTGAGCACAGCCTTCCGGTAGGTAGCCATGGTGGGTGGTTGCTTGCTTGTTTAAAGAGCATTTCCTTTGTTTATTCTCTGAAGTACTGCTAGAGTATTATTGATTAATTAACTACTAAATTTCCATACTGCTCTTCACCTGAAGTTCACAAGGTGGTTTAGAATATGAAACCTCAAAAATACATACATACAACAACAACAACAACAACAACAACTCTCCAAATACAGTATCATTATATGCAGCATGATGTGTCATCAAAGAAAACGGCACAAGAATGATTTTGCTTAATACTTCCTACGAGAGCAGCCTTCGCCAACCTAGTCCACCCCCACCAGATGTTTTAGATTAGAACTCCCATCAACCCCCAGCCACCACACATTGGCAAAGGCTGCATAGTAGCCAAAAAGAAGTCCTTTTGCAATCCCCACCCTCAAAGCAGTGCAAAGTGGGCACAGTGCAAAGCTCTAATATCTTTTCAACTTAGAATTGTGAGAAGATGGACGCTGTAAGGTTACTTACTCTGTATGGCAAAAAAGAAAAAGAAACCCTACATCAGCTATGACATTGATTTTAAAATCATGCTTAGTATTGCCAGTTACAGAGTTATAAAGGCTACTCCATAACGCTCTCAGAGGGTGGAAGCTGCAGTTCGAATCATTCTCTGTTCACGTTCAGCTGCTGGTGCTATAGCTCTGAAGCAGCCGCATGCAACTCAGTGATAATTGTCTTTTTACAGGCCACTGTGAGTTTGGCTTCTGGAGTGTTCCCACTGGTGGATAAAGAACCAATCCTTGCTGAGTTCTGTGTGTAGCATTGGCATCTGTTCTATAACCTTGCTGCGTGTCACCAGTGGTTGGCCAACAAAAATGTGCTTGTTGTACACTGGGACCTGAGCGGTTAATGGGAATAGGCCCTAAGCAGATATAATTGGCTGATCAGTCACTCATTTTGAATGGCAAATATAACCTCATTATATTTTCAAATGGCAAGTGCACAAAAGTTCCCCTGATTGAAACCTGAGGTGCTTGCGATTTTATTAAAAGATTTGAACTGTTAGGCTGTGAGAAAATAGTCAATTCCACCTCTACCTGCTGGTATTATGACTCTTCAGGTCTGTGGAGCAACTAGATGCTAACTAGTGATTTTGGAAACAGTTGAAGAGCAGCCTGCATCTTTGCTTCTCATCTCTTTGAGAAAGAAAGAGAATAAATGCCCCACTTTCCCTTTCCCTTCTCTCTTATGCAATGACAGGTGGTGATCTCTTTCCCTTTCTGCTTTTTGGTTTTGTTTTGTTTTGTTGTAGCTCAGCTTGCTGGTGAGAGACGCACCTGACCTGTCGACTGGTATCACTTGCGTATTTGGAAACCTCACTGAAGTTGAAGGCCAAGTTTTGGGCAACCAAATTGTATGCATTTCACCAGCATCAAAAGATGTTCCTGCCATACCTGTGGACCAAGGTGAGCTGGCTAATGATTTGAGGTACAATATAGGCAGGCAACCCATCGTACACACTTCAGGAATTTGTGGCACAAAAGGACAGGAGCTGGATGGCTGGCGGGCTTGACTAGATTTAGATTTAGGCCTGCACTCCTGCCTTCCCCTGCAGTGATATGTGGATAAAGTTATTTTTCCCAAGAGCAGGCAAGAAAGGGATATCATCCACAAACCTGGCTTCCCAGTAGTGTAATTCTACCCAAATTTATGTACCACACAAATTTAAAAGTCAGTCTCCAAGCCATCTGCTTTCTGGGCTCTGCATCATTAGGGGTCTCAGTCTTTTGTAATCTGAGGCGGGCCAGAAAGGAGGTAGTGTGGGTGTTACTCACACTCTGAAGTATGACTCAGTCACCATGAGTGGGTGGAGAAGTCTTCTAATTTTTGGGCTGTTGCTTTGCTAATGCCATGGCTGTCAAACTCTCTCTGACATACACAGTTACCAAACAGCTCATTGTTTCAAACTTGTTTTCTCATTGGCTGATTTCCAAATATCCATACTTTCTTCTTATCTGTTTTATATGCAGAAAACACTTAATGAATATGCACATAAATCCAGGCAGCCCTGAAAGTTCTGAACAGGGCTCAGCACAAACTCCTGTTGCAGTTCAACTAGCATATTCATTTTTCTGATGATTTCATCTCCTCCCCCTTTAATGCTGACTTTGGAGCCATCAGAGGAATACATTTCCATAAAGTATTGGAAGCATTATGCACACCTTTGTTCATATCCTTCTACTAAGTACCTGGAACATAGGTGAAATAATCAGGAAAGCATGACCTGTCAATCTTAGGCACGGTATTTGTGTTATCCCAATGTTGTGGGAGTTTCAGCATCAATGGCACTTCTTACACCATTGGGATAACATGAGAAGCCACTGGACCATGCAGCAGTGCAACCTGTCTTGTCAGCATTATCCTGGGGAAACTGAGTTATCATGTAGAAAAGGTGCAGCCTAGTATTCTTATGGCCCTCTGCTTCTCACATAGCCCTAGTGGATAGGAAGGCTGCCTTATACCAAGTCAGATCATTGGTCCATCTAGTTCAGTATTGTCCCCACTGACTATCGGTGGCACTCCAGGGTTTCAGACAAAAAAAACCCCACATCCCCCATCCTTTCTGGAAATGCCAGGGATTAAACCTAGACCCACTGCATGCAACACAGATGCTCTACCACTGAGCCACAGCCCTTCCCTGTGTGAGTATCAGGCCTTGAGAGATGGTGACAGGACACAAGAGAAGAAGTGGTTTCTTAGGTATGCACAGTTCGGTCATTTTAAGGTTTTATAGTTCAGAAGAGTGCCATTTACCAGTATCTGGAAGGCATTAGGGATCCAGTGCTAAAGCACCAGTGGGATGTGACCCAGTATCCTCTTAGAGCAGGAGGCAGGTCACTACACACTGTCACAGCTGAAGATAAAAGCCTTCTGTTTGGCTTTGAAGCTCTGAATTATGTTTGCCACATCCAAGTTAGAAAGAAAAAGTTGCAAGGATCTCACTGGAGTTGTGGGAAAGCAAACTTGCTTGCAGCTCAAGTCCAGGAAGATGGAGGAAAGATGCCCCAAAGATACTGAATGATATATGAGGAATCTGAAATATTATATCATTATGTTTCAGTTATCTACTCTTTCTTTCTCCAGATTGGTTTGGGATAGAGCTGCTTCTGAAATCGAGAGAGACAGGAAAGATGTTTGTCAGCACAGAGTTCAAGTTCTACAACTGCAGTGCCCACCAGCTGTAAGACACCCTTTCTTGTTCTTCCTTATCTATCAGAACCTGAAGGCTTTAGCAATAATTCTAGATCTGTACTATAAAGGTTTCTCAGCACAGGAAAAGTCTGTCTGTGCAGACCTATATCTGTATCTATTCAGAAACAAGCCCCATTGGGTTCTGTGGGGCTTACTCCTAGGTAGGTGAGTATAGGATTGCAGCCTGTGTCAAACATTAGACTTGAAGACCAAGATAAGATGGATAAAGGTGCCCTGGCAACAATATCCACCACCATCTACACTAGGCAGAACAATTATTTCTCGAGTGTGTCAGGAAAACTATTATTTATTTTAGTTGCACCCATATATTATAAGCACAACTTGATTATCTTGTCACTAATGGAAGTATAGAAATGATTAGATACTAATGACAGGCCAATATAACATTCTCATAGCATGAAGGTGTAAATCATTATAAGCTGCCTCAAGCATTTTTGTGAGGGAGGGGGTTCTATAAACAGACAAAATAAATAAAACCAATAAATCAAATTTTGTGGTATTGTGCTTGTGCAACTATTGATATGTCTCACGTTAAGCCCTTATATACTAGCTGTTGGTTTTGAAGATCCTGAACCCAAGTTTTGCTTTCCTTAATTACTGTAACCCACAAGCTTGATGTTAATCCATCTCTCCCCAAAAGAGGTGAGCGGTTCATCAGAATGACTGCTCACCAGTGATAATCGAGCAAGCTAGGCTTGTCATCCAGGCATCCAAAGTGATGCCATAAACTTAGCATAACTAAGAGTTGGGGAAGTGGTCAAGCTGGCAGGGAAGCAGGAATTCTATGAAACAATAGCTGTCCTAAACTAGGAGAGAGGTGGGAGTCATGAGGGGGGAAATCCAAACTGAAATTCCAAACTGGTCCAGTGGAAGGCAAAGAGGCCAACAGCAGGTAGAGAAAGAGCCAATGGCAAGCAGAGTTTTGCCCCCATTCTCCTAGGGCATCACTGAGACTAAGGAAAAGGAAGCTGACAGCCAGTGGTTGTAAGTGAGAAGGCAGGCAAGTAAGGGATGGCTGACAACACACTGAGGTTAGTGAGGCAGAGCCCCATTTGCCCTAATGGAGCTGCTGGGACTGGAAACAGGTATGTTCATGTTTGACAATGGGAATAGCCAACGCTTCATCTTAGTACTGATATGCTTAGTGAAGAAAGCTGCATTTAGATCCTGCAAATGGGAGCTGAAGAGCAGGCGCCACACAGATCCCTGCCAATCTGAGAAAGGGGGAGAGAAATGGGTCAAATAAATGAGTAATTAAATATGCTCATACTGCTTAATATTCCTACCCCACTCAGATTTGCATTTGTATGATTAGAATAAGCTTCCTTAGCTATTAAGGTCATTACAGAGGAATCAAAAGGCAATTACAATTGAGAATATAAGATGGAAGAAGATGGTTAATGTGTGTTTTAGCACAGTAAGGGGTGGGGTGGAGGGAGCTGCCCACACTCTCTAGTTTGGCATTGAAGTATCTTCTGTTTGTGAGGTGGTGAAATTCCTCATAACTCATATTAGCTTTTTAGATTAGAATAGTTTTCTCAGTGGTAACAGAGAGACTAATAGATCATGCTGACATTAAAAATATCTGCCTGTCCATACTGGCCTAAAAGAAACAACCTCTGATTGTCTGTTCCATTGCCATTGCTTGCTATGGGAAAACAGAACCAAAGGATTCAGTGCCATGAAATGGGGAAATTAGCATGAGGAATTGAACTCATACACCACACAGATGCTGTTGGCCTCTGAAAATATAAACTTCTCCCTTTTCTCCCACGTTGTTTATTATTAGAAATAGAAGAAATGGCTCTTCTGTGTGCTAGAAGCAGAAATGCTCATGATTCAAATGCTGTTTAGAAGTTTGTCCCTTTGGGAGCAGCTGCTCTCAAAATATCCCAAGGCAAAAATTGGATAAAAACACCATCTCAGTGACAGGCAAAGAAAAATTGCATGCATTGCAGAGGCTAACCAAAGCCCTGGGCAGATTCTGAAGCAATCATAGCTGTCTTTGCTTGAGCTCTAGCTGACCCACTAGATGGCATTAAACTATTGCTCGTGCTGTCACATACCAGTTATAGACAGAAACTTTCCAGGTAAGTTGCTTGCCAGCACAATGCCCATCTGGAGCTACATGAAACCTGTAACTCTCAAGACAGAAGGCAAATTTATACCAATCTGCCACCAGCAGATACCCGGGACAGAATTATTTTTTCCTCTGTGTGAATACTTAATTGTATTCCAAACCATTTGGCCACATTGTAAACTTTCAGCTCTGATACTACAACCACAGAGAAAAACCCTCAGTACACAAACAGTGAAATTGACCACTCTTAATTTTGCATTGACCAGTTGAGTTATGCAAACCTAAGCTCTTCAAAGTTAAGGGAAGGGAAGATAGTCATTGTGGGCCAAAAATAATTTGACTCAAATTATTTCGGCATGGTTTTCCTTTTTCTACGTGCAGCGGTAGCTATCACATGAAGGCTAGCCTTGAAATTGCAATTTACCATACAAAACCAGTAGTCATGGATCAGAGGTTGAACACACTAGGATGCCTTAGACAATTCTCTATTCCCTCTGATTCAGTCCTGCACTGCAATATGGAGATAATAATACTAACCTGCCTTACTGGGTTGTTGTAATGTTTACTGAGATTATGTATGTGAAGCACTTTGAACACTTAGAAAGTGCAATATAAATGCTAAGTACAGTGGTACCTTGGTTTATGAACTTAATCTGTTCCGGAAGTCCATTCTTAAACCGAAACTGTTCTTAAACCGAGGTGCGCTTTCCCTAATGAGGCCTCCCACCGCCGGTGCCCTTCCACTGTTCGGATTCGGTTCTTAGACTGAGGTAAAGTTTGCAAACTGGGACACTGCTTCCGGTTTTGTGGAGTTTGTAAACCGAATCGTTCGTAAACAGAACTGTTCTTAAACTGAGCTACCACTGTATTACTATTGCATCCTATCATTGGCATAGGCCTGTCAGCATAGGCCTGCAGTGCAGAAACATTAATTTTTCTTAATTCTTAAGTTTTATTTAGATAATTTCACATTATTCTGCAATCCCTCTGCCCATCTGTTGATTTTAAATTTTGACACTTGCTAGAAGCAAGGAAGAAAGACATTTGGCAGTCAAGGCTGACATTAAAAATGAAAAAGGCACAAAACTGGCAATATCATGGACACAAGAATGTAATAAATATTCACCTAGTAAATCATATTTAAGGGTTAATTATGTTAACCAAATGTGTAAATGTTTAATGAGCTTTCTATCATCCATAAATTTTGTTGATATGTCAATAGTATCATTAACTGGCTCTTCGGTAATAATTATACATTTGTCAATAATAAACACATTTGCCCAGACTGAAACCTAGAGGTCCTTTATTCCTTTCTTGGCAGGTGCCTGTCTTGTGTGAACAGTGCTTTTCGTTGCCACTGGTGTAAATATCGAAACCTCTGCACTCATGATCCCACAACGTGTTCGTTTCAAGAGGGGAGGATCAATGTCTCTGAGGTATGAATACTGGGTTTAAAGAGCAGCACCTTTGAGTGCTGATCTTAGATGTTATCTTCATGATGGTGCCTGACTCTTTCCCCCCTCCTTCCACCCCCACCCCTGAAAAAAGTCTCAAGATTTCCCAAGGTGAAAAGTAAAGGTGAGTAGTTTGGTTGATGAGCTCATTTCAGCACCAGGGGTAGGCGGGCTAAAAGTAAATGGAAGGTGCGGGACTACTCAGGTGCATAGCATGACTCAAGTCAAAGATGGATGTATATTTATAAGCAGAAGGCTTGTGAAAAATTCTCTCTATTGGAAGGATGGTAAATAGCACCTATTTGATTGATGCAAAAGATAATGATCCCTATCATCTTCTATTCTAGCAAAAATTGGGTTCTGTAACTTTAGGCGGCAATGTACCATCTGCTTATTCAAGCATAAATCTCAGAAATAAATGGGGTTTATACATTCATAGCTGGCAGGATTCCACCACTTTACATGAATTGTCACAACCATGCAGTGCATATATGTTTACAATGTGTACTTCTGACATGATAGCTCAGTCACAGAACTGGCAAAAACAGGCTTTACAGAGTAATTGGTGCAGAGTAGTTTAGAGAGAAGGTAAAACTGTTGAATGCTTCATCTTCTCTGGATGATGGAGAGAAATTTTAGATACATTGTTTCTTATCAATGTTTTTACTTGAATTGTGATTGATGTTAACCCAAATGTACTAACCTATATGTAAATATAAACATACTTGTGAATACACTCGTACCTTGGAAGTCGAATGGAATCCGTTCCGGAAGTCCGTTCGACTTCCAAAACATTCGGAAACCAAAGCGCGGCTTCTGATTTGCTTCAGAAAGCTCCTGCAGCCAATTGGAAGCCACAGAAGCCCCATAAGATGTTAGGGTTCCAAAGAACGTTCACAAACCAGAACACTCACTTCTGGGCTTGCGGCGTTCGGGAGCCAAAATGTCTGAGTACCAAGGCATTTGGGACCCATGGTACAACTGTAGGGGTGTGGATTCATGTTATGGATATCTGCTGTTTGTCTCTAGGCTGAAACTAGGTAATGGCAAACATGAACACCCTAAAGCACAGGTTTGAAGGTCTGCTCCCACATTTATAGGGAAGGGCCATAGCTGAGTGGCTGAGCCTCTGCTTTGCATGCAGAACGTCCCTGGTTCCATCTCTGGCATTTCCAGGTAGGACTTGGTCCTTGAAGAGCCCCTGCTAGTCAATATCAATGGCCTGACCCCATATAAGGCAGCATCCTTTGCCCCTAACAAGGGGCTGAGTAAAGGGCAAGAGAAAGAGTGCAGCCAGGTGGCTATCCTTGCTGCAGGGAATAGCATACCCAGGCACACCAGCTCAACCAAGCATGTTCTGCTCTAAGAGGAAGCTCCCCTCTCATCTGTTTGCTAGCAATATGGTGGGAACACACTCTGTCTATCATCTGTCTATCTGTCCCAGCTTTCTGCCTAACAGGTTTCTGAGGTTTCTGAGAAAGAGTGAAAATTAAAGCATGATAAATATAAGATTCTTTTTAAAGGCAGTGATGACTTATGATTGCTAACAGTTTTAAGAGCTGCCAGGCTTAACCTTTGGGTCTCTGTGCAGCTGCCCCACGTGGCAGGCTACTGAACTTCACATTGCAGCATCTGCCTAAGGTAGTTTAGTATACTCTGCCCCAAGACTGATCCCGCCAAAGCTGACTAGTGGAATCTCCTGGACAGGAAGCACCTGAGGCACCTTCTTATTCCCATTAGTTTTTCCCAAGCAACAAGATCTTCCTGAGCATTTGATTGTTCCTTTATTATTTAGTTGCTCTTCAGTCCTGACTTCTGGTTTACTCTTCAGTTCTACTTCCTAGTTTATCCCTTAATCCCGACATACTGAGAGGGTCTAAGCATTAGTGTTGAGTTTTGCTAGAGATCTGAGGCCCTATCAGCTGCCAAACGATGTCAGGTCCTGATGCTGGACCTGAGATTCACAGGTTGTTCTGTTTATTAGGGAAAGTGTCTCATTGAGATTTGGCAGCTGCATGACCTTTTGAGTTGTTGGTCATTCTCTGGCCAAAAGCAGTTGAACCTGAAAGGGCTCGTTTTGTAGGTCTTGTTATTAGAGTAATGATGTTCAGGTCTTGTTATGGATGGAGATTATTTGAGGGCTGTGCTGAAGAAGTGCTATACCCTTCTAGCTGAGAAGAGTGAGTATTTTGAGGGAGGAATGAGGGACGGGATACTACCCATGAGATCAAGGGAACACTTTCATTTTCCTTCTGACATTAAGAACATTAAGCCATCAGCATTTTTAAAACATTGGAGGTGGAGAGTGTCTACATTTTGGTTGAAAACCTCACATATATTTGACATTGCAAACAGGAATAAGTGGTTGTCATTCAGCCTCATAAAGATGGAGCCTGACCAGCAAGGAAATGAGATTGAAGAGGGGAAAAATGTTCAGCAATAAAAGGGACCATCAAGTTTCCTTTCTTCTTATCAAGTAATGATGCTCCATGCTGCATCAACAAAAAAAATCAAGCTGAAACAACATGTGTGCCTTCCAGGTTAGAGAAGATGCCAGGAAATAGGTAATATAAAACTAGACATAATATATGTATATACATGAGCAGGGCTTGGCAACAGACAGGCATACATGATTGGAAGCCGCCACTGCCTCGCTTCTGCCTGTAACCAAAAGTGACACCAGGTGGCTTATACTGTTTGAACTTTTAAGTGTTTCATCAGAAGTGAGAGAAGACACTCGAGGGGTTCTCAACTCTGGAGACAAAGCTTTAAATAGCTTGATACAAAAGGAAGAAGCATCTTTCCAAACTGGCAAGAGGGAGCTGTTATCTTTTATTTTTCCTGTGCTCTAGTGAGGATGGATTTTCCTTCCTATCTGGTGAGGTTGCCTGCATTCCCTTTGCTCAACTTTGGAATTCGGTTTCTGCACTTTGAAGGCAGTGATGTCAAAGTTCCCCTCTTTTGTAGGTTGCTCTTACTACCCCCAGTGGGAGGGAGGGAGGGAAACAGGATTTGTCTAGACCAGGAAAAGGAAGCGAATGAGTGGCACAGCTGGAAATCCAAATCCAGAGGGAATTCTGACTCTGTGTCTTTTCTAATTGCTATTGCAAAACCTCTTCATGGTTTTGAGCAAGACATTCCAAAGGGCCATTTTCACATTGTGCTAAAGTATCCTAAAAGTCTGTCAGTGTGGAAAGTCCTGAGGGCTGCAGAAGCATGCTAATTTTTGTTACCTATTAAAAATATATTTCTAGGACCTAGTTTGGGGGAACCAAGGTGCTTGGAAATTCTGCCTGTCACTTCCTGCCTGTCCTTTATAGCTGGCAGAACTTCTGTTAAGCACTCTTTAGTTAGCTTATGTTGAGCAAACTATGCTGTTATGCTGTTCCTCGTTGCTCAGCATAGCCATGTTGACACAAATGAAACACTGTTCCTCTTTGCTCCACATGCTTATGCGCTTACACTGACCCAACTAGCTCAGCAGTCTAATTTGCTTAGTCTCTCTGAAGAAAATAAAATGCTGTTTGTCAGAACAAAAGTGTAATCCAGTTATTCTGTTGCAAAAGCCACTTTGTAGATAGTAATATGGAGGAGGGGGGGGTCCTCTGTATGGTTTCTATTTTCAGCACCATCCTGTTAGCAAAGCTGTTCTTACATCTGCCTTAATATATTAGCAGAATATTCACACACAAATAGACATTGTTAACAGAAGATGCATTGCCCTTTGGAAGCAAAGCAAAAATGATAATATTTCAATCAAACTAGTTTCTGTCAAAGAAAGAAGTATATGCACAGTCTCCCACATGGATACTTGCCAACTGCAGCTCAGTATCAGGATGTAAGTGCAGCATCCTGCCTCCACAACCATTTTAATGCATTAGTTAACACATCTGTTTTGAAAGGTTAAAATCATACCCTTTGTCAGATGTTAACCAATGGTAAGAACCATGACATGTTGCTAGCAATTGCTTGTTTGTGCCAGTGTAAAGACAACCTGAAGCCTTTAAAGTAAGGTTATACTTTGCAAAATGACTGAAAAAGTGGCACTTTCATGTTTCACCACTTTGTTCCCTGTTAATGCTCGGAGGCAGAACTATAGTTTACAATCACTCAAGTAAATTTGCACTGCTTGGCTTCTTTTACTGTTTGCACTTTGGCAGAATTAATCTTTAGCACAGTTAAACAACAGTGCACTTATGCCTGTGCAAACCAACCCGCCATGGCATCAAGGAAGCGAAATACATAATTTGTCTGAGGGATTCACTGACAACAGTATAATTCACCTTGTGTGAATCAGTTGTCACAATATTTGTTGACAGAAACATTTCTATCCTACCTTTCCATCAAGCATCCGCAAGGCAGCTTACAATATAAAGTTGAAGAATTTAAGAACAAATGGCAATATAAAATAGCCACAAGAGAAAATTTAACACCCCCTATTTTCTTCTCAGTGTTGCTGCACCCTCACTTTACTCAAATTTCTGACATTGTTTGAAGCAGCCAGTTTCTTTCCTTTTTGGTGTTCCTCTCTATTTGCTGTACTCAAATCTCCCTCTTCCATTCCAGCTACTTCATGTAAGAGATAAAGGATGCAGAGCCGTCAAAAATCCCATAGTATTTTACTCAAACCTCTGACTTTGTTTAAATCCACCATTTCCCTCTCAGCTCCCTCTTTTACTGACTTTTTAACTTCTGCCGTTGTTTTAAACCACTTCCCTCTCTCATTGTCCATCCCTTCCTGCTCCTAAGCCATGGCCACTGCTGTTGTGCAAGCTGCCTTGTCTTTTGCCTTCTCTCCAACCCTGATTTCATGCAAATCCAGGATTGTGTTGAGGCACTCCAAAACCTCCAATGGCAGCTTGTGTGATGACATTAACATTTTTATTATATAGAGACATTAGGATAAATATTAATGCATAATTGAACTAACTAAATAGTTCCCTACAAAAGCCTTGGTGAAAATATATTTTTAGGCAGCGCCC